CTAGGACAATTCTGGGGGGTCCCTGAGGTTCCCCCTTTCACCCCCTATTCCCCCTCTCCCCCAGGACAATTTCAGGGGGTCCCAGGGGTGTCCTTCCCTCTCTCTTCTTTCCCTCCCAGGACAATTTCGGGGGGTCCCTGTGGTTCCCTCTCTCACCCCCTATTCCCCCCCTCCCCAGGACAATTTCGGGGGGTCCCTGGGGGGTGTCGAGGCTGCCCTCCGGAAGCACGAGGCGATCGAGAGCGACATCTCCGCGTACGGGGCGCGGGTCCGTGCGGTGGCGGCGGTGGCGGCGGAGCTGGAGGCGGAGCGCTATCACGACATGGGCCGTGTCGCGGCGCGCCGGGAGCGCGTGGAGCGGCTCTGGGAGGGGCTGCGGGACCAGGTGAAGGCGCGGCGGGAGCGGCTCCAGCGGCACCTGGAGCTGCAGCGGCTCCTGCGCGACCTGGAGCATCTCATGGCCTGGGTGGAGGAGATGGAGGTGCGGGACAACCCCCCCCCGTGTGACACCCCCCCGTGTGAACCCCCCCTTGTGATCCCCCGTGTGACCCCCCCCGACCTCTCCATGAGCTCTGTGACCCCCCACTTGTGACCCCCCGTGACCTCTGTGACACTCCTCTGTGACCCCCCGTGTGACCCCTGTGACCCCTGTAACCCCCATCTGACCCTTCCTGACCCCCCATCTGACCCCCTGTGACCCGTGTAACCCCCCCATCTGACCCCTCCTGACTCCTGTGACCCCCCTGCGACCCCCTGTGTGACCCCTGTAAGTCCCCATCTGACCCCCCCATGACTGCTGTGATCCCCCGTGTGACCTCCTGTGTGACCCCTGTGACCCCCCATGTGACCCCCCATCACCCCCATGTGACCCCCTGTGATCCCTGTAACCCCCCCTGACCCCCCCGACCCCCATGTGACCCCCCATGTGACCCCCTGTGTGACCCCCTGACCCTGTGACCCCCCATCTGAACCCTCTCTGACTTCTTCAATCCTTGTGACCTCCTTGACCCCTTCTAACCTCTGTGACCCCGTGACCCCTGTGACCCCCTGTGTGACCCCGTGACCCCTGTCACCCCCCGTGTGACCCCTTGCCCCCCGTGTGCCCCCCAGGCCCAGCTGCTCTCCTGTGCCGTGGGCTGACCCCTGTGACCCCCTGTGTGAACCCTTGACCCCTGTGACCCCCTGCCCCCTGTGACCCCCTGTGTGACCCCGTGACCCCTGTGACCCCCCGTGTGACCCCTGTGCCCCCGTGTGCCCCCCAGGCCCGGCTGCGCTCCCGTTCCGTGGGCTCTCACCTGGCTCAGGTGGACGAGCTGCTGCAGCTCCACGCGCTGCTCGAGGGGGACGTGGCGGCTCAGGCCGAGCGGGTCCGGGGGCTGCGGGCCCAGGCCGAGAGATTCCTGGGGGAGGGGGGCGGTGAGTGACCCCCCCAGACCCCCCAAAACCTGGGCAGGGGGGCGGTGACTGACCCCCAATTCTCGGGGAGGGGGGCAGTGAGTGACCCCCCCAAAACCCTGGGGAGGGGGTGGTGAGTGACCTCTAATTCTCGGGGAGAGGGGCAGTGAGTGACCCCCCGCCCCAAGCCTGAGACCCCCAAACCTGAGACCCCCAAACCTGGGATTCCCCCCCGGGACCTCCCAGAACCCCCAAACCCAGGGACGCCTGAACCCTGAGGGCCCCAAAAACTGGGATCCCAAAATCAGAGGCTCCCGGGACTCCCTGAAGCCTCAGAGCCTTGGGACCCCTGAATCCCCAAGACCCCCTGAACCCCCAGGACCCCCAGACTCTGGGACCCCATAAATCCTGGGGAACCCCTCCAGCACCCCTGACCCCCCCTGTGCCCCCCTGACCCCCATCCATGCCCCCAGGGTACCATCCGTGCCCCCCTGACCCCCGTCCGTGCCCCCCTGACCCCCCTGACCCCCATCCATGCCCCCCAGGGTACCAGCCGTGCCCCCCAGAGCAGCTCCGTGCCCGGGTGGCCGCCCTGGAGCTGCGTTACCGGGAGCTGTCGGCGCTGTCGGGGCGGCGGCGGCTGCTCCTGGAGAGCTCCCGGCGCCTCTGGAAGTTCCTGTGGGACGCGGGCGAGGAGGAGGCCTGGCTGCGGGAGCGGGAGCGGCTCCTGCGCTGCCCGGAGCTGGGCCGGGACCTGCCGGGGGCCCTGCGGATGCTGAGCCAGCTCGAGGCCATCCGGGGGGCCC